TAAGGTTTAAAGATAAGATACTAAAATTAAGGAGTTATTAGACTATATATAGGTATATATATATAAGTTTAATAAGTATAAGTAGTTTACTAAGTATAAGGCCTACCTCGTCGTATAAAGTAACTAATAGGCTAAATTAACTCACGAAGATACCTATATATCTATACTTATTAATAGATCTTTCTAAATACTAATAGCTATAGCTACCTAATTTAATCTTAAATTACTCTAATATAATATTATTAATACTTTTATTAATATTAAACTAAAGTAAGATATTTATATATAGATGCTACTAGGATATTAGAGGCCCGGCTGGATTCTTAAGCTCTAGAAGGCACTATATAGCCTATATTAATTATTACTACTTTAGTAGAAAGAACTAATTACTACCCTTATAAATCTCGGATTTAAGCCTATGCCCTATAAACTATATTACCTCTTAAAAGGGGAAATAATAGTCTTCTTCTATATAGATAATCTAATTATTACCTATAAGAAGATAAATTAATAGGTAATAGACTAGATAATAGGTAAGCTCTAAGAGAAGTATTAACTCTCGGGGGGTAAGCTATTATAGTAGTTTCTTAGGATTAAGGTAATCCATAACCGGCGCTAATACTTAATTTAGCTCTTATAGTTATCTTTTATCAATAAGATTATTAACTATTTCGGAATTCAAAGAAGGAAAGATCCTCCTATATTAATAGCCACTAAAGAGCTACTTCCTAATAAAGAGCGAGCCTTAATAGTATTAATATAAAAATATTAATATAAAACTAATTTAATATTATACCTAATAGTAATTACCTGGCTAGATATCGCCTTCGCTATATCTTAGCTTTGCCGATTTAATATAAACCTAAGCGATAAGTATTATAAGGCTATTAATTACTTACTTTAATACCTTCGGGCTATTAGGATACTTATATTATAGCTTAGTAGAACTAATACTTTTAATATTTATAGCGATATTTCTTTCGCCGATAATACTATTAATTAGAAGAATTTATAAGCCTATATTATAAAGCTCTTTAAAGGGACTATTAAATAATATATTAATAAGTAAGATATTATAATTACCTTTATAATAGAGGCGGAGTTATTAATACTTATATAGGCGGTAAAAGAATCTATATTTATCTCTAGATTAGTTAAAGAGCTCGGCGTAACTCTCGATAATATAAAAATCACTATCTAGTATAATAATATATAGACTATCCGGCTTATTAACTCCGATATAATACTTCTATAGACTAAACTTCGATATATCGATATTTATAACTACTAGCTATACTAAGAAGTACTTATTAATTAGATCTTAGTCTAATATACTCCTACTATTAATATAATCGCGGATAGCCTTATAAAGGTATTGCCCGATTAGTAATTTAAGAAGTTTATTATATAGGTTAGCCTAATAGATATTAAGGAAAGGATCTAGGAGAGAAGGTTTAAGGAGCTTACTATAGAGGATTTCCTAAAAGTAGAGGAGAAGCTAGATTAAGAAGAAGGAAAATAGACGGATTAGAGGGAAGGTTAACCTAGCGATGGGACTATAAACTATATAGACTAAACTATACTAGATAGACTGGGGGGGTATATTAAACATATGGTGTGACGTCTAGTATTTTCCAAGGGAATAAACCGGGCGTACTAGGTTTACTATTAGCAAAGAGTCTTAGCGTTTGTATATAATAGGATAGTTATATCTTAGTAATAAATTAAGAAGGTCTTAAAAGTAATTAAAATATATTAATAACTTAAGGGCTAAGTATTTATCTAAGATATAATAAATATTATATATATATATAAGTATCTTATAGTTACTAAGAGGGTAATATAGTATAAGAATAAGTCTTATAATATAAGACTATTCTTTAAAGTATAAGATTATCTCTAATTAGCTAGGATTAGAGGGTATTTTATAGGGAAGTTTTATATATATAATAAGGACTATATTAGGCTATAATATCTTAGCCTTGCCCTCTTAGATATAAAAATAATAAGAGAGAATAAAAAATAAAAAGGAATAAAATAAGGAACCTAATTAATATACTTAAGATTATCTTAATATTATCTTTTATTATTAATAACTTAGTAAGGGCGTATTATTTAATAATAAGAGGGGTAATTATTAAATATATATATTTATATAATAATAGGGATAGATAATTAGAAGATAGAGAAAGAATAAGAATAATTAATTTAGGATAATTATTATAACGTATATAATAAGCGAGTATTATAGACAAGCAAGTATCACAAAAATCTTAACCCTCCTTAGGAATATTATAATAAAAATACCATAAATTATCTAATTAATTAAAACTACTCGCTATACTCTTCCCTAGATATCTTAATTACTACCTAATAGGTCCTTATATTATAGCTAGGCTAGCCGCAGATACTATAACGCTAAATACCCGGTCGCGCTAACCTTCCTTAACTACTACTCCGCGATAATTCCGCCACTACCTATATATTAGTATCTATTTGATTAATTACTTGCCTTCCTTCCTCTACTATTATAACCCCTCTTTTCTATAGCCGGGTTCTTTTTGCCCTCTAGCGCTGACTAAGTATCTTATTTGCCTCCCGAAGGTCTTTATTCTTAGTAGCTAATAAGGCAACCCGATATATAATTGCCTTTATCTCTTTCTTAAGAGACCTTAGGGCTTTAAGGATTAACTCTAAGGAGCTACTTTAATGCCTTCTAATTTATCTTTCGAGGTATTTAGACTAAGATTAGGCCTTAAGTATAGTCTTTAGGGTCTTTAATGCCTAAGAGGTTAATTAATTAGATACCTCCTTAACCGGCATTAATATCTATAGCCGCATATTAAGCTTTAAGATTATACTTTCTAGATTAAGAGGAATAAGCCTAGCCCCTTTAAATAATACCTTAATATTTCTTTTTATTATAATAGCCTTATATATTATATAGAAGGCTAGAAAGAACTTAGTCTTTAAAATATAGGTTATAAAGTATCTAATTAGATATTTTATTTCTCGACTATAAGCTCACTTTAATACGCTAAAGTACCTAATATTAAGGGGCTAGAGTAGATAAGAGGAATAAGGTAATATATAAAGCTAGATAATTTTATTCTCCTTATAATATCTCTCGAATTCGATAGAATAATAATTTTTATAGCTATTAAGGATTAAGAGATAATAAGAACTAATTAATCGATTAGTTATATATTAGTTAAAGTACTTAAGCTACTTAAGACTAGTCTTATTATTGGTCTAGCTATTTTAGGTCATCGCAATAGCCTAATCGCCTAGGAGGTTACTTTCTTAGTACTAATTAGCGAGGTAATATTAACCTAAACTAATAATAAATAGCGAGATTAACTAGCCTTTTATATTAATTACTTAGATTATTATAATTTATTCCTAATTTCTAGGCTATATTAATTTTAGCTTTAAATACCTTTCTAAGCCTATAATAATTATTCTATTTATAATTATGCCTATAAGGAAGCTAATCTTATTAAAGTTATAAATATTATCTAATTAAATATTATATTTCGCGATTATATTCGCTATAAGTTAAAACTAATCATAGATAATAATTAGATCTTCGCACTTAGCTCTCTAATAATTATATTTCCGAAAAAAATATATCTTAAGCTCTAGGTATTACTTAATAAAGTTATAAGCCTAGTATATACTAACTAGTAATATATCGCAGTCGGTAAGTAATTAATTAGCTATATCTTTAATACTATATAGCCGTGGGGGAAATCCTCGCGAATCTAGGTCGAGGATAAAGTAAATAAGGATATCTTCTTCTAGATTAAATAGCTTATATAAATTAGGGATAGTATCGCGTCGAGACTAGATGCCTTATTGCCGGCGATATAAGGTATGATAGTGAACTATATATATCGCTACGGCGCGTCGGATACTTAGTTTTAGGTTATTTTAGAGGGCTTAAAGTACTAGAAGAATTCTAGCTTTAGTATTAGAGCCTGATATGCTAGGTAGTTAAGAATCAATTGATTAAATAAAGAAGATATAAGGTAAGGGATTTTTGTGATACTCGCTTGTCTGTGATACTCGCTTATCATATACGTTATATATAATTAATCTATAAATATATTATTTTTTTTTTTTTTATTCTCTCTTATTATCTTTATATCTAAGGGGGTAAGGCTAAGATATTAAACCTATTAATCCTATAATAGATCTATAATACTATTCTAATAATTAAGGTATTATAGGGTAATATCTTCCCTTAAGCTAGCTACCTATGTAACTATCATATATGCCACTTCTCTAACAGTAATGGCAACTACGGGAAGAACGGTAAAAGCGGGAGTGTCGGGAACCACATGAAATTTTTTGGGGGGGGGGGGGATGGATGACCAGAATAGGCTTTGTTTCTACCTGGCTTTGGCCGCTTCTCAATGTGGCTCGGAGGACAGTAGTGTGCGATTCAACCCCCTCCTTGTCTCGATTTCCCCTTCGCATCCTTCCTTTGTGCTTGCACCCCGTCAGGCCGCCTGGCTTTAAAAATGAACGTGTTTGAGCATAGACCACGACGTGTGCGGCGAGAACACGCTAAAGGTGGACCGCCGGGTCAATAGTGCTGGCATTATTTGAGCATCCGGGTGCCCCTATGTCAGTCACCAGGACCGCTGTCGGCCCCAGAACAATCCAAGTATATAGACGCGCACACTTCTTGTCACTGTCATACTACCATTTTATCAGCGGGCATCGGGCTTCAAGTCAGCGGGTCCCAGACTATATATCTGGGGCAGCCCTCAAAACTAGAATTGTTTAATATATCTCTATCTTGAATCCTCCCTAACCCTGAGCCTTATCATGGCCATTATCCCAAGCAAGACTTTCATTCAACTGTATGCGTGTGCAATAACCGAAACAGGAGAACACATTCTTGAGGTAGGTATTATCATATCTCCGATTAGACCTTATTCTCCTGGTGGATGACGTGCATATCTTCCTTATTGGCGATGTTGACAGTTATCTTACGACCATGAGCAATATGCTCGATGTGACCGCTGAGTCGGTAGGTCTTGAATTGTCGTGCTGGGACGTTCTTCAAGCAATGTTAAATTTGGTCGGGCGCAACATTGGGGGGGGGGGGGGGCAAAAATTTTACTCACGTTTAAGAAGAGCTCATCAAGCTCCTCCAGAGATCTTCCGCCGGTTTCTGGCAGGTAAAAATATGTCCAGACGAAGCCGACAAAGGTTAAAGACCCGAAGATGAAACCGACCTGCGAGAAGGAGCTTTATCAGCATACCAGTATAGGTGTTCAGATCATTGCCAAAACTCACTTTACCACCGAGATTGGCAGCGGTCGGATTGATTAAGTAGGGCATGACAATCGTGACTACCAAACTCATGATCCAATTGATCGTGGTACCTACAGATTGCGTCTTGGACCTCAGAGTATTGGACGCAACCTCGGAGGCGACAATCCATCCAACAGGCCCCCAAGACCACGTGAAGAAGAAGCCGAATAGGAGAGTGAAAGCGACGAGGCACTTCGCGGCTGCCTGACTTCCTGGTGCAGCAACGTCAACAATCGCAAAGCCAAACAAGCACACTACCTCCGCTGCGGCTCCCCAAAGAAGAATAGTCCATCGGCCCACAAAGCGCAGGGTCGGGTACAAAACAACAAGACCGGCAAGCTGGCAGGCCGCGCTGACCACCGTGATCACGAATACATCGTTAATTCCGGATACCTGGAAGAAGAACGTTCCGTACACGCTGATGAAAGTGATACCAGATAAGATCTGGAACAACAAAACCAGTAAGACGATTGACGTTCGGCGAAGATCAGTACCCTGAAAAAGGTTGAGGTATGAGGCAGAGGCCTCCAGCTGTCGCTCCAGAGTGATGTGGCTCTTGATGTCGTTGATGTCCTGTTGGATCAGGGTCTCGGGATATTCCTTGCCTCTAAGTCGCCGGAGGGAATTGCAGGCATCTTCCGTTCTATCTATAGACAGGAGCCAACCTGGCGGCGCACATTAGCGAGGGAAAACATCACACCTATTAAGGCAACTCACGAGGAGATTCCGGCAAGAAGAAGGTGACGACTAAGAGGATGACGGGGAAGGAGAGCGAAGCATAGAGGGGGATACGGTAAGCTTGGCGCGTTGGCATTGCGTGCGTGCCTTGATTGATGCACGTGCCGACGAGACCACCGATATTAATACCAAGCTGGTAGAGCGAAATCATGATACCACGGTATTGTGTCGGCGCTACTTCGGATTGATACACCGGCACGAAATTGGACGCGAGGCCAATGGCGGCTAGGATGAGGTGATCAGCAGTCGCCCAAGGCACTAAATGGGCCTGCTCAACATACCTCCCTGCATGATCCTTCCGAGGAGCAAGAGCGCGAGATGTGCGTAAACGACCTGGAAGATGACGCCGAGAATAGCCATCACAGCAATGGCAATCAAGCCGGGTTTTCGACCGAACTTGCTGCCAATAGGGCCCGATGCAAGGGCACCCAAGACGGCTCCTACTAAGATCATGGCCCCGATCGTAGTCTGGATATTGGTGTGGATATTCCATGCACCAAGCGTCTCATCATAATATCCGAAATCCTTGAGCCACCTGCAAGACACGTTATGTTAGTGGCCGGTAAAGTGCTGGACATACTCACGGTTCCATGACCTGGAAGCCGGCAATGGTTCCCGACTCGATGCCGAACGTGAAAGCTCCGCACATCACGGCCAGGGAGATGAGGACGAGCTTCGTCATGCTTCCGCGTGGTGCATGCGACGACATGCTGACTGATATACAGAGGACTTTCGTGGAGGTTGATTTGCAGTTACAGCTTAGCGATTTTGGAAAGGTAATGTGGAAAGCATTATAATATAGCAAAATCGAAACCTATGGTAAGGAAGGAGAAACACTCTAAAAGAGCGGAATAACGGCGATAAGCCGCAAGACAAACCTGGGGAAGTTATTTATAGTGGGTCTATACAACTGGTAAATGGTCTAGCGTACTTGGCCCCATGGGGTTTCATGTACTGTACTCCGTAAGCCTTAGCGGGCGTCGGCTGGCCGCCGACGAGCCGCTGGTCTAGACTACGCCACGGTCTCGCCTGGATGTTGGTTATTTGCCTAGAGGACTAAGATCGAAACGAGAGTAAGGCCCTCTATTCCGCCCACTAGGAACGTTCGTCATCCATCACACTTTCCCTCTTCGTGTTCAGTACAATATCCTGTACAGTTTGGTCGGCTCTGGTTTCCTAGATCTTCCAGTTTCTGGCTTCTCTACACCACATAAAGAGCCCCTTTGCGCGGCCTTCTTCTTATATATCACGTCTCAACGCTTCTCAATTGCTATGCATGGTCCTCACACTCTAAAGTGTTGAGCTTGTGAGCAAAGAGGCAATATGTTTCTCGTCGCACTCCCTACGTGTTGGTTCTCTGTCTCCCTACTTCTCAACCGCCAATTACCTTTGTATACAGATGTTAGAATGTGGGAAAGTCAGTTAAGCTACCTCTGTGCCAAACTTGTCGGAAAGCACGTGTGGCACCAAGATGACTACAATTGTGTTGTTATTCTTGTTGAGTTCAATCTGACTGTCTGAGGTCATCGCCACTTATGATATACGCAGCTCCCCCTCCTCCTTGCCTAATTGGGCTAATTTCCTTCTTCGGGTTCCACGTGAGCTTGTTGCGTACAGGGCCCAATTCAATACGCCCCTTCAGCGTGAGGGCATCGCCGTTACGCTATCACTCTGTCCTTAATTAGGTTACAGTCTGATGTCTTCTCTTTCATTTGATCAATTGATTTCTCATGGCTCCTTCACTTCGTCCTTCCTATTCTATTCAAGTCGCGTTGATAGGTCGGTGAGCTTTAGTTGTGTGACAAAGCGGTTGAATGCATCGCCGGGCAGGTTCTTTGTCAACCCATCCGCAAGCAACTCCGTTGAGGGTGTGTAGATCACATCGACCCTTCCTTGGAGGATCTCTTGTCGCAGCCAGTGATTGTGGATGTCAACATGTCGTAGCTTCGTGCGTAGCTGTACGAGCTCTTCCTTAACGAGCCGGATGGTCTGTTTATTATCACATTGAATGGCGACTCGTGACGGTGAAGTGGCCCTTCGCTGAGCCGTCGGCCTCGAGAGGTCAACTCGCAATGCAGAGATCAGTCGACTGGCGAACAGAGCTTCCTTCGCAACTTGAGAGAGTGCTAGGAGCTCTGCTTCTGTTGTGGAAGTTGTGACTGTATCCTGCTTGTTAGCTCTCCAGGAGGTGATCCCTCCGAACAGCTTTATTGCGAATGCCTGTGAGCTGCGACGGTCTAGGGTATTATCAGCGAAACTAGCATCAGAAGCCACTTGCAGTCCATCTTCTTCACTGCTTGGGGCTGCGTTATACTCCAGTGAGAGGCCTCGTGTCTGTAGGAGATACCATAACGCTCGATCGGCTGCGCGATGGTGTTGTGGGCCTGGGTTCTGGTTGAACCTCGCCAGTCGGCTTGCCGCGAAGGCGACATCCGGTCGTGTCATTACCGCTGCGTATATGATTGTTCCGACCTTCCGCTGATACAGGTTGACGCTTCGTGGGGTAGCCATGTCCTCGTAAGGGAGTAACTCTTCTTGTAACATCGGGGTTCTTGACTTCGCGTTCGGTATCGGGTCGACGAGGAGGCGACGCATTTTGTCGATATAGACTGACTGTGAGAGCCACAGGCGTCAGGTCTTTCGGTCTCGGATGATCTCGATCCCTAGGAACCACTAGAGGGGCTTGCCTCCTTCAAGGCGGTATAAGCTCTATAAGTCTTTTATCAGTCTTTTCGCCTTGTTTTCTTCGGACTTAGGGAAACAGAGGACAAAGTCGTCCACATAGAAGAAGAATATGATGTCCTCATGAAGCCAGCAGCAGTCTTCCCCAGGCACCCTTTGGAATCCAGTCTGCAGCAGGCCCCTTTCAAAGTGCCATTGCCATAGAAGGGGAGATCGCCTAAGACCGTAGAGTGCTTTCTATAGCTTCAGAATCCTGCCAGGTCTGCGATAGCCTATTGGCATTTCCATATAGATATCCTCGTCAAGTTCTGCGTGCACGAAGGCATTGACTACGTCGTATTGCAGCATCTCATAGTCAAATCGGTTAGCAATAGCTACCAACGTTCTAAATGACATGCCGGCGAGGGTGGCGGCGTAGGTTTCTCGCCCATCTCTCGTCTGCTAGTCACCTCGGACCACGAGGCGCGCCTTGATCTTTAGGAAGCGCCCGTATTTATCCAGTTTATAGGTGTATACCCAGTGGTAGCCTAGTATTCTATGACCTCTCGCCATGAGTTTGGGGACCTCAGTCCATGACCTTGACTGCTCATGACTCTGTAAGTGCACCCTCTCGGCGGTTAGTATCGCATCCCGGTACGGATGACTTTTAATTCTCGCATGTGAGCTAGGAAGCTGCTCCAGCAGTCGCCAATGTGTACCGGCATTTGGCCGCTTGTCCTCTCCGGGTGTAGAGCTCGTTCTATCCCGTGTTTTCCGGGCTTCTCGCTTTCCCACACGCGGTTCATGAGGCTGAGCTAAGGTTCCTCCCACAGGGGACCCTTCGGGGCTGGCCAGGCTACCGAGGGTCTGCCCATGAGTGCTCTTGCGGTGTTTTGGACCTTGTAGTCTGTCCGCGCAGAAGGCAGCATTGAAGGGAAGTCTATGCCTTGCCTGAGGCTCGGTGAGAGCTTCCTTCAGTCTCTCGGCTGCAGTCTTTGCTTGGGGAACTGGGCCCTTTTCGCCGGTTGTGCCACGCCCCTTCACGCCGAGGCCATCGGCCAAGGCGTGGAAAAACGCAGCCGGCGGTGACTCCGGAGGAGTTGGTGGGACTTCGAACTTCGCGGTGGTATACTCACTCTGCGATAGCTCTTCTTCCTCTTGTACTTCCTCGGGGTTTTCAATGGACTCACTGACTGTTTCATCTTCTGCTTCTCCGGACACTTCATCTGGTTCTTCGTCGGGTAGTTGCGAGGTCCATTGTTGGGGTCGCTCTTGTGCCGATAGCAACTCTTTGATGCGGTTTTGTATCGCTTCTAGGTCTTCCTTTAGCAGATCATCTCGAAGGGTCTCAATCCGCCCATCGAAGTGTTGATGCTCATTGAAGGTGACATCTCGAGTTGTGAATACTTCCTTTTCTAGTGGGTTCCATACCCTGAAGGAGTTGCTCGAGGTGTAGCCGACTAGGAAGCCGATCCATCCTCGAGGGGACTGCCTTTGTAGTCGGTTTCTGCGCAACTGGGCGTCCGTGGTGAGGGCGAAGGCTTTGCAACCATATGACCGGAGGTGCGATAGGTCGGGCTTCGCCGTGCCGTCTGTGCGAAAGTGGGAGTGGAAGAGTTCATATGGTGACCTCCTTCCTCGCTGGACTGATGGCGTACGGTTATAGAGGTAGGTTGCGGCCTTCATTGACTCTAGCCATAGGTATTCTAGTAGCTTCGCCCCTGCTCGCATCGCACGGCTCTTCTGCATGATGACTGCCGCTACTCTCTCTGCGCCTCCGTTCTGCGCTTGGGTGTTGGGTGCGGACGGCTCGCAGCGCATTCCTTCTGCTCTTATCCTTTCAACCACACGTGGGTGTGTCTCCGTGATCTCGCTATCACACTCAATGACCTTGACGCGAATGGAATACTGCGTCATCATCATCTTAACGAAACCTCTTATCGCCTTGAGGATGGCGGCGGTTGTACGTTCGTCTGAGTAGTAGTCCCATGAGTAGCCCGTAGCCCGGTCCGTCAGGATCCACACAGATGTGTGGCCTGCGTAGCCCGGGGTCATCGGGTGGAAATCGATAGCAATTCTTTCTCCTGGTTTGGCTCGTGCCGTCGCTTCTTTTGGCGCTCTCCTGATCATACGGTGGGCCTTGGCTACACCGCAGGCATCACAGTTCACTGTGGTGGTCCTCTGTGGTCCCTGGGGCTCGTCCAACTTCAGTCTCACGCCCCTTGAGGCGGAGCCGAGGTATCGCAATGCCTCTGGACCCGGATGACCAACCCGTCTGTGCCATGTCAGGGAATCCCCCTTAAGGGGCCGTCTGCGGGTCCAAGATGTGTATCTATTCCTCCTTCGAGTGGCCAGCACTCTGTCGGTGATGAGGGCAGCTTGGGTACACGGTTTTGACTGGCTGGCCACGCGATATTCGAGGACCTGTTGCCCATGGGTCTCTTCGACCTCGCCGAGATGGCTTCCATCTGCCCTCCTCAGACAGTTGTTGCCTGGCCTTGTATCCCACCAAAGGCCTCGCTTCCTCAGCTTCGAGAAAGAGACGAGGTTGGTAGTGAGAGACGTACACAGGGCAACGTCGTAGAGCTTGAGCCGCCTCGGTGATCCGTCGGGGGACTTGAGGGTAATCACTGCATCGCCATAGCCGTCAATAGTGACTTGGGTCGTCCCTGACCAGAAGAACTCTCCTGGAGGAGCTGCCCGAAGCGTCTTCATTCGCGAGGCATCCCGGAAGATATGTAGTGTAGCTCCGGAGTCGAGGAGAACAGTATCCTGCAGCGGATAGGCATCGCTGGTCACGAAGGCTGCCTTCTCGCTGCAGGAGCCGGCCGGTCTGAGTCAAGCCGACTCGTCCATCTTGATCTTCTTTATCCGGTCGGCTAGGTTATCTTTATTCTCTTCAATGCGCTGCTTGACTCGTTCGGTGATCTTCGCAGACAGGCGAAAGTACTGCGGCCGCTTTTCAGGAAATGCGTAGTAGCATTTGGCGAGTGGGTGAGAGAGGTTGCAGGCAGGGCACTT